GCCCAGAAGCCGTCATGAGCGGGCGGGCGGGCGAGCAAGCGAGCGGCGGCGGCCTCCACGTTCCCCCGCCCGCCCTCGAGCTGCCCGCCGCCGCCGTCGCCGCTGCTGCTGTCGTTGCCATGAGCCTTGCCTGCCTCGGTCGCATGGGGTCTGCACCGCGGCCAAATTTCGCTTCTTTGCCAAGACAAAAAGAAGAGCTAGGCGGCAAGCAGGCAGGCCCACGACGACGACGACGACGACCTCCGCACCTTCTTGCCCTTCTTCGATCTAGCCACTCGTCGATCCTAGACTCCAAGTCTACGCTCGCCACCATCGCCGCTCAGCGACCGACCGACTGACCGACCAGCATCCGGGCGGAACATGGACCGGTGACATCCACGCTCGCTCGACGACTTGCCATCCCCCGCCGCCAACCCGCCATGGCATCCAACGCCTCCCCGCGGGACCGTCCCGTCGTCGCCTCGCCTGCGCCGGTCACGCCACCGGCCGAGCAGGCCAACGGCATCGTGCCCTCGACCTCTAACGGCAACGACGACGGCGACGCCCACGCCAACGACGACGGCAACGCCGCCGATGGCCTGCCCCTCTTCCGCTACGACTCGCCCAGCGTCCACTCGGGCCCCTCGCAGCGCCGGTCGGCCAAGCACCGCCACCCGCACCACGGGCACGCCTTCCCGGACCGCGCCGAGTCGCTGCGCGACGTGCAGGCGCTGGCCAAGCTCGTCGACTACCGCTCCAACTGGTACGAGGACCACCGCCTCTCGGCCGACGAGATCCGCGACCGCACGCGCGCGCTCGGCTGGCGCAAGGCCGCCGCCGTGACGGCCTTCTACGAGCGCCAGAACGAGATCCTCGACGGATGGAGGGAGGTCGACGAGATCCTCGACTCGCGCTTCCCCGAAGAGGTCATGCGCCGCTTTGCCGTCCACGACGACGAGTCGAAGAAGCGCCAGAAGAGCCTCGACCGCCGCGCCTCGCGCATCCGCAACGGCCGCCTGCCCGGCGAGAGCACCGACACCGACTCGGACTCTGGCAGCATCCGCGGAGGCGCGCTGTACGACGGCGAAGATGGCGACCGCCGCCGAGGGTCGCGCCGGCTCAAGCGCAGCTTCAGCGAAAAGGCCGTCAGCGCCCTCAGCGGGCTCTGGTTCAGCAGCGGCAGCGGCGGCGGCGGCGGCCAGGCTGGCAGCAGCGGGAGCCACGATCTCGAGAGCGGCGGGGTTTCGGCCGCGCGTGGACGCAAGAGGCACGCCGGTCAACGGCGTCGGCCCATCATCGACCCGGACCCGGACCTGGCCGAGGAGGACGAGGACGGCTACAACGAGGACGAGGAGGAGGGCGACGATGACGACGACGACGACGACGACGAAGACGACGGAGGCCGGGCTGAGGCGCAAGCCCTGATCAAGGACCGACGTCGCGGCCGGCCGTCACGCAGCGCCCGTGGCTACGGCGCCATCCGCACGCCGCCGCAGCCGCAGCAGCAGCGCAGCGCCACCGAGCTCTACGACCGCATCCGCGAGGAGGTGCGCTTCGAGGAGCTGCGGCGGTCCGAGTCGACCGTCACGCTGCCCGGCAGCCTGCAGAAGGACGGCGCCATTTCGCCGCTGCCCCGCTCCGGCTCGCCCACCATCCGCGGCACGGCCACGCCGCCGACGCAGCAGCCC